CGCTTGCGTACGCTTGCATTGCGAGTCGATATGAGTTAGCCCTGCGTCCGCGCGGTTTTATACTAAGTCTCGCGCGCGACGCCTATTTGATTTCCGCAATGGAAAGTTATGGGTTGGCTACCATGGGGCTAGGAGCGTTGTCGCGTTGTTTGTGTTGTGTCATTTCGTATATGAGAGTGTGCATGTTTTTATTTTTGTGAACGTGAAGTGGTGTGCGCGTGGTGTGTGGGATGCGTCCTAGTCGACCGATGACGAGCCGCGCTTGGGACTTCAGCCCCCCATGATGTCGGTTCGCGTGTGAGTCCGATAGAGGCGTATTACCGCGCGTACCCCCTATGCTACAGCGAACGAGAAACGCCCTCGACTAGTCCACCTCTGCGATTGCAACTGACTAGCTTTCGTACTGTGGACTGGTAGCTCGGCGGGGATACGCCCACCGAAGGGAGGTGACAACTCCCGTAAGGTGTAGGTAAGTCGTGCCTCGTGTTGGCCCTATCCTGTCGTAGGGGCTCGCGAGAGGTATGGCTGGCGCACTCGGCCGGAGCGGCTTGCGGAAGCTCCACATGTACAAATTGCGACGAGGGATTTAAAGCAACTCCTGCGTGACGCGGCCGGGAGGGTCCCGCGCTGCCCTGGTGCGGTGCTGGACCGATTCGCTCGACAACGGCCAGCTGCCTGCCTTTCAAGTTGTCAATTCCCCTGTTTCCTTGTCGTGAGCCTCCAGTAGCAATTGCTCCACCGGATCTCTGCTCAAAAACCTGACCAGCCTCTATTCTGAAAATGACCCTTTTATCCTAGTATCATCAAGATCCTCAAGTTCAAAAGTGTTCAGTCCCACCCGCTTAGCGATCCTGTAGGGGCCTTTGAACCTTTTTCCCAGCTGTCCAGACCATGTGCTTTCAAGCGCCGAGTTCCTAACTAGTACCATTTCCCCCACTTGGAGCGGCTCCTTTCGGATGTTCTTGACCTGGTCCCACCTTGCTTTGTCCCTCATTCGGCTATCCATTACACGCTTAACCACATCCTCCAAGGCTTCCTCATTTCTAACAACCTGTTGGCATCGTGCAACGATTAGTTCCTCCGTAAACATGTGCGGATTGTCATCTAGCCTGTTCCAGGTAGGAACCAAAGCTTCCACCGGGAAATCAATCTCCCTTCCGTACCAGAGCTCTGCCGGGATGCACCCTGTTGTCCTCTTCGACGTCATGTTCTCAGAGAAGACCGCCTGCTTAAGGTACCGAGACCAGTTTCCCAGGTCATCTGCCGCTAATTTATCGATTGTGTTTTTCAAGGTCCGGTGCCCCCTTTCTACAGGTGCGCCGGCCTCAGGGTGATATGGCTCGATGATTTTGATAGGTACGCACAACGTCTTGAACCTGCTCAGCACTTCGTGATTTACAAACTCCGTCTCGTTATCCGCTATGAACCTGCGCACAAAGGGGTGCCTTAGGTAGAAGTCCTCTATCCAGTCGGCCACTCCCTTCCCCGTCTTTCTCTTAAGGGCTACTGCCTCTACGTAACCACTGAGATTATCCCTTGCATCCAGGATGTACCTGTATCCATCCGCCGATACAGGCATGACCGCAAGGTCAAGGTGGATCAGGTGCCCCGACCCTAGTACCCGAGTAGGTGTAAGGGGCTCGAAAACGCGTGCGGAGCTCCTTTCCTGACATATCAGGCACGTTTGACAGTATGTAGCCACCATACCTGCCATAACTGACCAAAAGTAAAGTGGCGCGATTTTTGCAAGGGTCCCTTTGGACGACCGATGCCCTCCGGCTAGCCCATCATGCATCGCCTGGATTATGTCCAACTGCCTAGACCTTCCGCACACGACACGCCAAGGCATCATCCCTTCCTCTCTCTTGAATAGGTGGTCGTTCCTCAAAACATACCTCTCGGCTTCCTCCCTTGCCTTGGGGCTAACTTCCATAGGCTGCTAATTTCCTATAAGCAGCAGACCGATCTCTCTGAAGACGCCATTATACATCTGTACAAGGAAGAATTATCGTCCCTCCTGATTGGTATCTTGCTCCTCCTGCGCCTGATTCACTAGACACTGCAGCTCCCTTCGCGTCCAAGTTTCTACCAGACTCGTCACAGCATCCCGACCCCCTTCAACGGCCATTGCCATCAGCTCCTCCTTCGGCCCCATCGTTGCTCCCCATGAATCCTTCTCATCTTTGCGTCTAATCGTGGTGACTGGCCCTTCCCTGAGTTCCGCAACTACGGCGGGCGCGCCCTTTTCTAGGGTCTGAATCAGCAGCTGCCCTGTTGTAGAAGCAGCGCCCGTCATCTCGTTATCTACGACAAGGGTTCCCCCTTCGTACTTCAGGAAGGCGTCGATTGGCTCCGCATCCTCTACTCCCTCCGGCGTGATGCAAACCCGACTTAGCCCGTCTGCCCTATTTCGGAGCCCCGCAATTCGCTCGACCTTGTAGTCGAATTGCCATATAAAGCCTATCCATCTCCCAACGGTCGGGTCTATAGGCTTGTAGTTCTTTAATGCCCCGGCGACATTGGTCAGATGGATTCTCAGGATAAATCGTCTTCCGAACAGGTATGCCTGAAAGGTATTAAGGCAATGTAGGATGGCTAAAACTTCTTTCTTGAATTGTGAGTATCGCCGCTCTGCCGAATTCAGGGTCTTGCTTTCAAATCTGATAGGTCTTTCCTTGCCCTCCTCGCTTCTCTGTATAAGGACTCCTCGTACTGCCAAAGGTCCTCCGTCTGTTTCCAAGATAAAGGGTCGTCCTACTTCATCATTGAAGGAGGGAGCTGCCAAGGTGACCTGATCGGAAGACAGGACGTCTTTGAGGGTCTGGACTGCTGCTTCCCTATCCTCAGTCCACTCCATGGTCCCTCCTTCCCTAATCATTGCGCGGATAGGCTCAGCTATTTTGGCAAAACCCTTAACAAAGATCCTCCAGAATCCAACCATCCCTAGGAAGGCTCGTGCTTCCGTTGTGGTGCGCAGCGGTGTCGGCCATTGAGAGATCTTATCCATTTTTGCCGGGTCTGGCTTCCTTCCATAGGCCCCACAGCGAAACCCCAGTATGGTCACTTCTGGGACTGCCAGGATGCTCTTGGGTCCGCTTGCGGTAATATTATATACTAAGAACCGCTGAAGTAGGTCCTTGATATCCTGTAGGTGGTCCCAGACGAACTTTCGCATGCCCGGCTGGACCTCTGTCTCATCCTTGATCTGCGCGCCTTTTGTGGGATTGTCGTCTATGTACGACTCACATTTTTCCGGGAACATGTCCCCCGCAATGGCGAGCATCCTCCTTTGTGCTTCTGCCACGGCGTTTGTGAAGCCCATAGGGGTCACTTGCATCTGCAGCTGCCTTATAGGGGTGTGCATGTCGGTGTACGGTCTATCCCTCGCGTCGAGCGGCGGTTGGTCATATCCTGAGTACAGATCTATCAAGGAGTAAATGCTTCGGCCCGCGTGGGATTCGGCCAGTAGGTCGGCCTGTGGGAGCGACCCCTCGTCCCGAATTGTCACCGCATTGAGCTTCTGCAAGTCCTGGATCCATCTGAGCATCTTGTTGGGCTTCCGAAAAACAAACCACTTGTTCGTGTAAGGGGATGCGGTGGGTTCGGCTACGAACGAGTCTATCTTGGCTCTGAGCAATTCAGTGACTTCCGCCGCTATTCCGAACTCGTAGGCATGCCCCTTGTCATTCCAACATTCGTGTTCCACTGTGTGGATCCTAACGGGATAAATTAGCTTTGCGTCTAATTGGCCTTTCTGGTGGTCATTGAAGGCAAAGGCTAAATGAAACTCCTGATACGCTTTCCTTATCGAATGAGTTTCTTCCGCCGTTAGGAACCCATTTACCCCTATTTTCATGGTGTTTGCTACCTCATCGGGTATCCGATGCCCTTCGGCTGCTCACCTTTCCCTTATTATCCGCAAGATTTCTTCCTCTTTTTCCATGGCCTCTTCCCTGGACGTTTCTACTAGCATCGAGACCAGCTTGGCTTTCTTCCCTACTGGTTTGTATTTTCGAACGCTCCCTTCTGGGATTGTTCTCCTAAAAAATGAACGGTCGGGATCGACCTTGCTACCTCCATGACGCGGGGTCGAAGACTGACTACCTTTCCGTTCAGACAATAGCCTTTTCGGACCTCATCTTCAAATTTGGCAAGCGTTGCCGGCTCCACCCCCACTTTGTGGAACTTGATAGCCTTAACGAGTTGTAATAAGTCTGGGATTTCGAGCACTACCTCCGACATTTCCTTCCAATCTTCCTTTGGTTTGGGCAGGCTGGCCCCAAGTTCGACTTCCGACTCCTTCTCTGCCACCATAACCCTTAGAACCTCGTCCTCTTGTCTCCTTTTCTTTAGTGGTAGCCCCATCTTGATCCACTCCTTTTTGCTAAAGGCCTCCTCAATCATGATCTCCACTTTTTCCCTCATTCCTTCCATCCGGGCGAATGCCCCTTTTCGCGCACTGTCTTCGAACGTTGGCGACCAGGTTGCCAACTTTCCCTTCGGCGGATCCCCTCCGGTCCCAAGGAGTCGGAGGAGTTCTCCGCGGCCGGTCACGGGGTCCTCTATATCCACCATGAACGTGCCATCATGCAAACGCATACCTATCATCTCTACGTTGGCGCACCACGGTCTCCCGAGAATTATGTCATGGTTCATTTCTTCCATTACGGTCATCTGCTGGAAAGACCAGATGGATTCCCTGATTCCTGCCTTGACTGAGCATTTCGTAACGTACCCTGCGAAGGGGATTTCCCCGCCGGCGCCCCGGATACTCCCCGTCACTTCCTTGTTTACTGTGCAGCCCGTAATTGTTGTGAAGTCTCGTCGTATGAGGGTAATTTCCACACCACCGTCCACTAATGCGTCTGTGTGGTGGGTTCCGATCTGGACTTTCAGCTTTCCTACGGGCAATGCATGGAAGCTAAGTTTCGTCCCGGGTGGTGCCCTCATGACTTCACCACCTTCTCGGTCCGGTAGGCTTAGGCGGATGTCCGCAAAAGCCTTTTCCAGATCCTCTAGATCCCCTGGAATTCTCTGGAGGTTGGAGACCCCTTGCGGTGCCTCAGCCTCCTCCGTTTCCTGCTCCTGTGGTTCCGGGGCCTCCTCTACCTCTACGCGTGGGCGTGTCAGTAATTGCCTGAGTCCTTTAAGCAATCTCGGGCTTGCTTGCAACATGGTCTGAAAGGACACAGATACCATGGTACCTAGCAGTTCGTTGAGTGTATCGTCGAGTTCTGGCATAGTCAGAATCGGAATCTGGTACCTGAATTTATTTTTTGCCGCCATCGCTTTGTCTATCGGTTCCTCTTCCCTTGCCTTTCTGTAAACTTTCTCGGGCTCCTCGGTTTCGGTTTCACCTTGATTTGCGCTAGTCCCCGCGACCTCTTCCATTACCGTATCTCGGATGAGTTTATTTTCCGCCCCTGCCCGCCGGGTGGTGATGTTCACCCTATCCTGTCCATTACCTTCTAAGATGAAATTGACTTGTGGTCCGCGTCCCCTCGGTTGGTCCCAAACAATGTCAGCTACCGACTTGGCTTCTACGACAGTTATATCCAGGTTATTCAGGATGATGACGGCACACCGCATCCCTCTTGGCGAATTCCAGTTTATGCGTTCTCCCTGAGGCCCGAAAATTTCACCCTTAATGTACCTGCTGAATCTTTGCCTCATAATATCGTGGTTGAGTCTGGGACAAGTTTGTACGAAATGTCCGGTCATTGTGCAATACCTGAAGTCATTGTAAGTCGCATAGTTCTTCCTTTGGACCGCTGCCAACTCAGCTTCTGTCGCCATTTTCTCTGCCTTCAGGTATTTCCTCATCATCTCGTTTCGGGGCTCTTTCCAAGATCCACTAGCGGCGACAATAGCCATAATGTCCCTTCCTAGGCTTAGCGACACATGCTGCCCTAAGTGGTCAATCTTATCTTCCTCAGTCCATTTCAGCAAGGCTGCCAAGTTCTCGTAGTCTATCAGGAACTCCGTAATATTTGTCCCATCGAAAGTAAGTTTCTTCTTGGCATCCGCAAGATACCCCTGATTTTTATTCAGCGCCCGAGTGAGGGTGGCTACTATCCTCTTGAGCCCCCCTTCAGAGCTCCCCGCTTCACCGACCGTACTGGTCCCTTCTCCTTCCTTGCTATCCCTCTGCTTTTCTCCGGCCTTTGGCGTACCCTCCGGATCAAACCATCCTAACACCCTCTCTCTAAGACTCCAAAGTCCATCGCACCCCTTCGTTACTTTCGGCGTGGCGGGCAGACGGCTAGCACCGTTGTCGATAGCCGGCGGGGTCGTAGCTTTTTCTGCCTCTACGGACGAGGAGTCCCCTTTTTCCTTCCCTTTCTTACTGGGTGTTCCTCTATGGCTATTATCCTTCCCTCCGTGCCGGACTTCGCCCTGACTGGCCCTGCGTTCCTCTCGTGACCCTTCTCCCAGAAGGTCTCTTTCGTTCCCAGCCATCATCTCTTCGATAAGCCTCGCCTTATATTCTGCGGTTCGCTTTTCGATTTTTGCCAGCTTACGACGTGCGTTCGAGACTTTCGTTTTCTTGGGCGTGGTCCCCTCCGAGTTCCGAGGACTCGACCTGTCGTTGCCCCTTTCTCCCTTATTTTCCTGGGGTCCTCTCTTGCTACCCCCGGTTTTCCCCGAACTTTCCCCTGTCGAAAGGTTCTTCCCATCCTCCCTAGTCCCTTCTGGCTTTGCCGACTCTCGGTCCCTTATCGACCCTTCGTTCCGTTCCCCGCCTCTATCCGTGTCCTGACTCCCTTTGCTCTGCAGCCCTTCGGCCTCCTCTTCTGACGTCATCCCTTTACCTACCCTGCACATGGAATTTTTTTTTTTGCGAAACGGCCGGTTGTTCATAGCTTCTCTAGTCCCCGGGCCCTGAGGTCCCCCTCATTCTTGCTTATTTCCAAGTTTTCCCGTCTTATTTTAGTCGGGGCGACCCACTTGACATTTCCCTACCGGGTGCCGTTCTATTTTTCTTCTGCCGGAAGGCTCGCTGCCGAGGTTTGGCATTCCGTCACTGTCGTGCCCCGGTTCTTAGGGCGGTGTCCGAGGCTAGCGGTTCTCCTCTCGCGGGTAGCCCTTTTGTCTTCCTGACACTTGGATGCCCCAGCGTCCTCAGCGCGGGTGATCTTCCCGGTTCCTTCCTGCCACATCCTTAGGTAAGGCGGAACTCCGACCACTGCCCCCTTGCTGACGGCTAGCTTCTCATTCCGGTTTCCACTTTTTACTTTTTCCCTACCCTTCCCCGGTACTTTTTCTCACGCCGGTCCCTCAGGCCTATCTTGCTCGTCAGGTTCTTCAAATAGATCGGCCACCCCTGCAAGATAATTCTCTCCCATTTCTCTCTCCCTGATAATTATTGGCTCATATTCCTTAAACGCCAAGCGTGGTAACCCGAATATCAGGATTTCGATGAGTTTGAGTAGTTCATGGGCCTGGTTCCCCCAGAACGGTCCGTGCCTAACTGACACATCATAAAACATTCCCGTCGTCTGCGGCCGAAAGTAGTGGGTCCAGACTAAGGTCGAGTCCACCAGGTCTCTTGCCCTTGAGAGGCTGCCAAATACCAAGTCCACCATAAAATGAGGCACTAGACACCGCAATCCCGTCATCGGGGCCCTAAACTCTTGCCATCCTCCTACCTCCACCCGGGTTCTCAGTCCCACGTTCCTTCTCCCTCGCACCTCCTGACCTATCCGGTTCACTATCCTAGTAGCCCTTTGGAAGATCGGTAGCATCCCATGCCCTAACGCCAACTCCGTTCCTAGCATGTGTCATCCAGTCTCTGGTAGGTATACGGTCCATGTCACCTTCAGATCGATATACAGGTCGTCCCCCGGCCCCCTATTGATCCTCATACCACTCCATAAACATTCTACCATCATGAACGCATGGTCCCTTCCCAAGGTCACAGCTCTCCATTCAGTATCAATCTCTCAGACCATGTAGCTTGTCGGGAGCGATACCTCCCATCCGCCTCCACTTTCCATGGGCGGCCGAGGGTGCGTGGGCCGTCGCGACATCCGGGCGCGTCTCATCGCCATCGTTGATTAGCGGTCCCCTGCATAGTTTAAACAGCAAGCGAGCTTACTTATTTCATCCATTCTTCGGCCCTTACCCGGGCAACTTCCTGGTCCTTAACTCGATATCCTTTCCCCTTTTTATCCCCTCCCTTTTTTCTTGTCTCTTTTATCATCTTGCCCCTACTCCCGTCGGCTCATACAACCGGTACAGGTCGTCCACGTAAGTCATTCCCCGGCTTACCTCTCGTCGAACAACGCCCTATAGGACCTCGTCGCTAACAACCGGAGCCCTTGGTCTGGTGGTAAATACGGCGCGCAGGATTCGTAACACTTCATACCTCTGTTCATCGTTGAACGACCCCATTTCTAGGATGGCCCGGTAGTATTCTCGGTGGACCACCGCGTCTTCAAACGTCAGGTCGGCGAGGTCGGCTACAACCCATCTGACAAGCTCCAGTCCGCCTAGCCTTTGTAGTAAAAAGGGCGGCAATCTCATCCGAATGTTCTCACTAGGCAAATGGAAACTCCCGGCCATGGCTACTCTAAGGTTCGCCGTCATGTCATCAACTTCCGGGTCCGCGAATTCGAATCCTGCCTGCCACACTAACTGCCATGCCCCCTCGAATATACTTAATGGATCTTCCCCCGACGCCAACAAGACTCTGAACGCCCGCCACCCATCCTCGGACATATACAACCATCCTTCCGCACCCACATGTCCCCCCGGGTCCGGGTTCCACTCGCCATTTTCACCCACGCGCCATTCAACCCTTGTCACCAGGTAAATCGTGTCTTCCATGAGCTCGACCCTGACCCAGTCCACCACAGGGCGCCAGCCCTAGCTTGTGGCGGGCAGGGTGATTTCTATCCCACCAGTCACATCCCTTGGCGGCTCAATGCCCAACTGGCGGTCCTCAAGGAACGTCCTTCTTCGTGCCATCGCGCGCCTGTCTTCGGTATTTTACTTCCGCAATCCGTAACGATCCCTACAATGGCCAGACATCCCACCTCTTGCCTTAGCATTTTTACGCCTGGCAGGCCGCGTGTAGTACACATACCCTCTCACCTATGCTTTCCCCTAACTTTTTTTTCTCTCTCTTCTTCTCCCCCTTCATCCCCTGACTTACCCCATTAGATCGGGTTTTCCTTGTTCTTAATCGAACCACAGTACTTCGAACAATTTAAATACATCGTCCACATAGCAAGGTGTCGCTGCTACCTCCCGACGGACTATGGCATCCCTGATTTATGGGGCTACCTCTAACCGATCGTTCCTTTCTATGTCCAAAATAATGAGGACCTCCCAGGCTCTGTCGCCGTGGAAGGGCCCAAATTTCAACGATGTTTTATAAAATTCTTCTGTTAGCCATGCACAATTTACGTGTATCCGCTCCATAGTGCTAGCCACTTCCGTGACGTGATCAAAGCCCCCAAACCGGTCATCCACGAACTCGGGTACCCAAGTCTTGACTTGTAGGCAAGGGGGCCTAAACTCCTTCCATCCCCCCATCACGACCTTACTGCTGACCCCATCCCACCCTTTGTTGGCAAACTTCTCACCTGCCTGCCGAGCCCTTGCCTCCGCGTCCCCTAGGAGCCACATCGGGTTCTGCCCTGCCGCGAGCGTCATGCAAAACAAGTGTCACCCCTGCTCGGAGAGGATGATCGTCCCGTCCGATTCCACCCTTCCTTCCGCGATCTCCTCCCATCCTTCTTCTTCCCTTAGCGGGTTCCTGACACATTCTATCCAGCGATATGACAGTTCTGGTATAATTTCAAGTCCTACCCAGTCACACGTAGCCCCTCTCCACTCTCTATCCGTTGGTATGGACATTTCTATCCCCCTTTTGACTCGTCTCGGCTCCCATCCTTTGAACGTGCAGTCCCTCAGCTGGAGATCTCGGGCCATCGTTCCCTACCTGCACATAGCCGATTGCCGATTTTCCCAGGTAAGCCCCCCTTCAAAAGTTTCAATCCTTTATCTCGTCATCGCTCTCGTCATCACTGAAATCATCCTCCCCATCAAAGAACAAGTCCTTCAGTCCTTCTAGGTAGGTCTCTCCCATCGCCACATCTCGATAGACTATCCGCCAATGCACTGGGCTAGGGACAAAGACATCGTCCGTGCCGTAGAGGTTCAATATCTCAGCTAATTCCTTCGCCCAGTTACCTCCGAATGGCCCCATTTCTACCGACAATCTAAAGAAGTCCTGTCGAGCGCACTGGTACAGCCTCAGGTGTGCCATAGAGCGGCATATTTGTTCCAATCTATCCGTGGTCTCAAAAACCGCAACCACCAGAAATGGAGGTAGCACGCACGTCATCGTCCTAAGAGGTCGTCTCATGTTTCCCCTATCCCCGAGCTCCACTCGCACCTCTACTTGTCCATTTCCATTTTCGCCTGTTGACATGCCGCCCATACCACTTCTCATTCCGCTTGTCTAAACAACTGGTCCGGTGTTGTTCCCAGTCCTAATCCTATTACCATTGCATTTTCCATCTCCTGGGATAGGTAGACCCACCCGCGGGCTTCCACCGTCCCCCGAAATTCTAAGTCCATCAAGCTCGGCGACAATCTCGTCAGGCTGACCTTAGTCCAGATTGTCTCTGTCCAGAGGAACGCGTCCTTTTCGTCCAGCATCACAGTTTGGTAGGCTGGCTCCAGGTCTGTCCACGTTCCTTCTTCCGGGAGGACGACAGATACCCCCTCCTTTACGTCTATTGGCATTCCCGGACCACTAGAATAGGCAAGAGACGAGAACCACCACGCCATTCCGTTTTCCGGCTTCGGTCCTGTTTTCATAAGAGAGCACCACACGACCCTTCAAGTCAGGCTAGTCCCCGCTTAACTCTAGATGAGCATTATTCCAAACCCCTCATCCGGGTCTCCCTAATTTTTCCTACCCATTTCCCGAGCACCATTGTCCCCATTGTACCCCCAATTGGTCATCCCCAGCTGGCGTTCCTTTTCTTGGTTCCATTTCCTTCCGACTCCTATCCTGGCTCCTTTCCTTCTTCTCTCACTCGTGTGGACTTAGGAGGAGGCGGGAATAGACTTAGAAAGCTTGGTCCCATCCCAACAATCTCAGGCAACCTTATAGAGGGGGGGACCAAAAGAAAAACTCAGGCAATCCTTGCACACAGGCCGGTCATCTCCTCACCGGCCTTTTCCCCAAAGTGGTCTCTCCACTGTTACTATCGGCAGAGTTTTATCCCGTACCTCAAGCACAGCTGAACCGTCGTGAGCGCGGTACCCAGGCTCCGGCCAGGCGTTAGCCCTTTCCTTGTACCCAGAATACCCCATCCCGTCTTGTCGCTCTTGCTCATCCATACCGACACCGAGGGTTACCCCGTGTGCCTAAATACAGGGACAAAAGTCAACCGTCCGGGCATTCACTTCCATCGGTCCGACAAGGAACAACCTTTCCCAAACCAAGCTACGAGAAGCTATTAATCGCCTCCGAGGCTCCGTCTTTGTCCGCATGCAGTGGTACTCCCCCCGCCAGCCAACAGGCTAAGCCCCGCCTGGGGAGACGTTTCGCACCCCACCCGACAGATCATCGGGCCAAAGCCCGTCACCGCTCGAACGAGAAGGCTACTAGTCATCCGGCGTGACAAACTCCCGTCCGACAGCTCGGTGGCCTGCCCTCCACACACGAACACACGGCAGCCTACAAAAAGAGAGCGACGTTTCGCAACCCGCACTGGCCGGTGCAGACCCCTCCTTTCCTTCCGAAAGGCAGGACGCTCAAATCCCCATTATGCAAGCACAAGTCCCTTGGTGCACTCAGCGCTTCGTACCCATAACTTACAGTTTTTCTCTTAAGACTATGTGTGCCACTCACCCCAAGTTTCCATACACAGTGCCCAGTTCCTTTTCATGAGCATCTTCAAAGGTGAGCTAGTTTTCTTTGGAGTCTAGCAACTCCCTTCATTCCCTTATCTTCGCTTGTGTGTCCGTTCATAGGGCAGGATTGTTCCTTCTCGATTACCCGTTTTGTTCATGTGAGGTTTCTTCAAGAATTTCAAGTGTAGTGCAAGGAGCCCGTTGGGCTCCGAAGAAGAGAGAAGAAGGCACCCATGTCGGTCGGATCACTCTGCCGCGGGATTTTCACTGGAACCCGGACTACCCCGGAATTCCATCCGCCTGCCAGGTAACCGGAGCCCTTCTTTCACACGAAGAGGAAGGGTCGACCTGTGGCTTGCCCAAGGCTTCCCTGGTCTGACGAACATCAGCCCGAAGGAAGGAGGACTAGAGTCGCCTATCAAAGGAGATGGCTAATCAAGTGTGCAACACGCAGGTCATTCCTCCAGGCCTGGCCTTGCCGTGCGCCCAGTCGCCCTCAAATCTGATTCTCTCAAGGGATAGAGCATACACAAGTCCTCGTTCCTTTGTCTTTGGTTATGTACACGGTCATGCGTCGGGCGCCCCCCTCGAGATCATATGGGTCAATTTAACCCATACCCGACACCTCCACCATTTCTGTAGGGACCATACCCTGAAGGACTTTGGAGCCTGAGTCGACCCCACTGCGGGTCCCATTTGGCTCGACCCGCCCACGCTCACGCTCAGGGCGCGGGTCGTTCGTCCCAAGGGCACCCCCACCTAGTGCTATGAGATGGATGGGGATGGGCCGTTTGCGAGAGGGCTTTACATTGGGGGATGTAGCTCCGCTCTCGCATTAGATGGTAACTCTTTGGTCACTCGTGGCATTTTCTCGATTCAGTTAAGTGTGGCCAGGCAATTGCTCCTTCCAATACACAAGCAGTCCAGGGAGTTCGTTGAGAGCTCGTCTTCTTTCGTGTGTAGGCCAAGCGTCATCCATTGGGCCACACACCTTTTCACTAAGCATGGCAATCTCTATGGCGTCATCGGGGTGCAGCCGCGACGTCCATGCCCCTAGCCCCTATATTTTTTTGCTTGACAATCATCCTACTCGCATATCCATTGCCGCCCTTAGTCTTTTCGGGCTTCCGAATTGCACACAAAAGAGCCATGTCATCCATCCATCATGCAAAGTCGCATCCCGTCATCTATCCTTTACCCGAGCATTCAACCCTCAAGTTCGTCCCACATTCATAGTTTATGCTAGGCCCATGTCCTTCCCTTGTCGATTTTCCCACCCTTGCCCGTGTCCCGCGGATCCGGTCCCGCTCAAACCATCCCGAACTACTCACCTGCACAAGACCACGCAAAGCAAGAACCCAATACAATCCCCATTAGGGTCAACACATTGCCCCTCCCACAGGCCTAAGTTCTTTTTTCTTCCAATGACCCTTTTAGTTCTCTTTCCCGCCCTTCAAGCGAGCCATGCCTTCTCCTTAGTCATGCAGTCGGGGAGAATGGTTGAGTCAAACTGACCTTGTCTCAAGCTTTTGCTCTTCCAGCCTTTTCAAAAGACCTCGCCTTTCCAAGTTTTCCACAAAGGTCCTGTTCCTTTCCTTCTTGGTGGCACAAGGGACCGGCAACCCTCCCCTTGCCCTCTTTCTCCACCAAGTGAAGACCGAGTTCGTTTACCGTTCGTTCCCTGGCAATGTAACAAGTGGGGGGAAAGGTTAGTCACGTGCCAACAACGGAGAGGAAGGGGGAGAAAGGGGTGAAGGTCAAGGGTCTAGGGAGAGAAGAAAGGAGATAGAGCGAGAGAGGGAGGGGATAAGAGAGAGAGAGAAAAAGAGAGAGAGAGAGAGAGAGAGAGAGAGAGAGAGAGAGAGAGAGAGAGAGAGAGAGAGAGA